GCTTGGAGTTACCAGGGACCGCCCACTTGCAATGAATTTACTAATTGTGCAAGCTTTGTGTGTCACTATGACTCTTATTGTGTTCTCCTTGTCATAGGAGCATGACAACGTGAAGTTTCAAAATGCTACAGCAGAACAAAGTCTTTGCACTGAACAACATCATTGCACACGATGCAAAACTCTTTGTAGGCTTCTGCTACGAAGCACAATTCAAATGGAGAAAGGGCTTGTAACTCTGGAACAGCTATCTACACCAAACACAGCGGGTCCATGGAGTAAACCACAAAAGCATTTGCTCCTTCAAGCAACACAAAGATCTAGCTAGAAGAAACTTCTAGATGAGAGTTCAAGTTTCCACAGAATTTCTTCACAGAAAACTTCTAGCTACCACCGCTCCCTCCTTTCTATTTTAAAGAAAGATCAGGCTATTAGCAGTATCACATACTTTTATTGCTGTGTACTAATTGCATTACTTTATGTATGTTTAAAACCTCTTATTCTTTGACATCTCTCAAGCTTCTGTCAGCCAAGAAAAAAACCACACCTCTTCCATATTCATTTCACAGTAATAATCACATTACTGTACCAAAAAGCTACTAGAAGATACTGGACTCTCAACTCCTCCAACAATTTGCTTCAGTCAGTAGTTATGGCAGGTGCAATTTGTTCAAAACCGAATAAAAGACATTCCTCAGCACCACCCTATGAAGATGTTTGAGAACTTTTCTCCCTTTTCAACACCGTAAACTAAATGGAGCCTCCCAAGTGGCTACAAGCAGCACCCAGCAGGATCAGGGAGGGCTCACTACTTGCACAGATCATCCTTGTTCCCTCCGTGGGCCAGGCTGTCTCCACAAGGAACGTGCCAGGAGGCACGGAGAAGCCCTGGGACGTACCACCGCTTTTGCATTCCGCTTGCCAGAAGTGCCAGCTTCCCAAATCAAAGCTAAAATCACCAGGCAGGTGCTTTGGGCATACAGCTTCACCTGGGACTTGGTAAAGCAAGATATTCCAGCTGACTGAAGTGCTCTCAGATGACTACAAAGAGCAGCGTTCCCCACCAAGTAACACTGTGGACAGCTTTTCTCATCTCAGTGAAGCCGTCCTCCAGTCTCATCACTATACTCACCTGAGTGTAAAGCTCTGTGCCACTACTCTGCAGAAACACAGACCCAGAAGTCTACTTCAGCTGCTCCACGCCATGAACAACGCCAAACACAAACGCACAGAACTCTCTCCAAAGCCAAGGTGAAGCCTCACCTCCGAGAGAGATGGCAGCCACAGGTCTGCAGAAACACAGACCCAGAAGTCTACTTCAGCTGCTCCACGCCATGAACAACGCCAAACACAAACGCACAGAACTCTCTCCAAAGCCAAGGTGAAGCCTCACCTCCGAGAGAGATGGCAGCCACCGGCTCGTTCCCATGCCACAACCGCGGGGCAACCCGAGACAAGAGGCTCAACAACCTGTTCCACCTCGCTTCACCCGCTCGCTGCCCGGCGGACCTGGGGTGCTCCCTCGCCCAGCTCCTACAGCTTCGGGGGGGTGGGGGAACGCCCCCGGGAGCACGGTGTGTTCGATACGGGCGGGGACTGGAAGGAAAACAGAAAACGCCAACGGAGCGTTTTAGCCAGGGCCGTTCTCACCGGACACATCTGCTCCGGGCCCGGCCAGGGCAGGGTGCGGGCAGGGCCACGGCCCGGAGCCGGACCAGGAAGTCACGGAGCGCGCGGCCCCCTTTGTGTGAATAAAACAATTGTCTTTATGTGGCTACCTCCTTTTCTTTTTCGTTTTTCTCTTGGGTGCTTAACTCCACATGGTGGACAGTAATTATGCATGATCTTTATCAATAATGTAGAAGCAACTTCCTATTGAAGACAGCTTAAGTATCCTAGGAGTATAAGACTGTGCAGTATAAGCACAGGTCTATGACATTCCCTGTAGTAAATAACACTCCTGAAAAAAATTCTAAAAAAAAAAAAAGTAAAAGATGAAACATTGTAAACAGATTTCAAACTTTATCTTTCCCAAAAGAATGCAAACTATAAAACTGCATTGTAAAAAATACAAAGAAATATATATAAACCTGAAGAACACTCTCCTTAAAGAATATCCTTACCCAGTAGTAGAGGATATAATGCTTGTCACATGGTGATTAAATAGTGAATTGCAAGAGAAAAAAAGTAAATAAAAATTTTATTTATTAATGTCATACTGGATATTTTGTTTTATGTGACTGAAGTTCTTTAATCTCACATTGATTTCATTCAAGTGTAAGACGAAAGCACAAACATCTTCACAATCCAGAGCTTTCTGCAGAATGTTGCACATGAAAAGAAATCCACTGATCAATTTATGGCATTAAAACTGTATCTTTATCAGCTGTGCCCTTTTGCAGGGGAGTGGGAGGTAAAAGTGTCTAAATTGTTTACTGGAAGTGTAATCCCTTTTTTTCCTTTCCTCTTTGCACATTGGTAAAAGATAATTTCTTATTCATTCGGTTATGAATGGTAACCGATTTTTGTATTTGTAAATTATCCATAGCTTACGATCTTATAAGCATTTGACATCAAAAATTCATTAGTCAAACCCTGTGCTCAGTTACTGAAATCATGTAATATTGTTTCTGGTCTCTACATACATGTGGAAGGCAGAAGAGCAATGTATCAAACAACTTGGCATTTCTTAGAAGGAATACAAATACAGAACAGAAGATATTCAGCAGAAGAATGGTACAGCCTCGCCATAATTCTGAGTACCCGTTTTTCACAAGGAAATAGTGTTAAATAGTGTTAAATAGTGCCTGCTCTAGGTGACCCTGCTTCGGCAGGGGGGTTGGACTGGGTGACCCACAGAGGTCGCTTCCAACCCCAAACATTCTGTGTGATTCTGTGAGGAATTGGTAGTGACATGGAGTGCAACAGCAGTCCAAGGTCCACCCACCTCTGCATCCATGCAAAGGCTTGCAGTTACCTCTGACAAGGGGCCACAAACAGTCACTGTTTCAGCCAAGCTTCCAAAAGTGATGTTTTTCAATTAAAATATTCATTTCTGTCATCTTCTTGCAACATCGAGCTGATCTGCATCACAGGCCAAAATGCAGCAGCGGTATCAGTCTGCATCATAATCCCGTCCTGGTAAAGGCACCGTCAGATGCTGTGGTGCTGAGCAAGGCAGCCACAGTTTCTCAATCCTCCCTGCAGTGGTTATTAAATTGTAATTGTTTTGTGCTGAATCAGGGAGTCTCTGCCCCAGCGAAACTCACTGGGTGGCTCTTGTAGAGTTCATCGATACAATTCCACCCCGGCACAAGCAGAGGAGACTGAAATCAACAGGAGTGGGTTTGACCTAATTCCAGGACAAACGTGAGCCCTGTGGGTCAGACTGGAGCTCTTCTGGCTGCGCCTGTTCTTAGAAACTCTCTTCCCACTGCCTTTAATCTGCAAAACAGTCTGGGAGAACGCTGAGGGCACAGACTGGAGCTGCCAACAACCCCGGCGTTCGAAGAGGACTATCGGAGCAAACGCACTGCTCCAAGGAGGAAGAGGAGGGCGTGTGGGAGGAGCTGTCAGACCCCAGCCCCAGCAGAGCCCTGCTGACTTCCAGCATCTGGTAACAGGGGTGTGTGCATGAAACAGGACCAGCCACAGCGCTTGCAGAAGCTGGATCCAAACACAGAGGGTGTAGGAGCGGGGTCATGCAGCCACAGGGTGACCACGAGCAGGCGTTCACCAGCTGGTGCTACTGGGGTCCCAGTAGCCTCCCCAGAGCGACTCCCTCTGCATAACTTATTAACACTTCTGCAGGAATCAAGAACCACACCGAGGAACTCGCACTGTTAGAAAAGGCTTTTTTATTGCTTAGCCTTCCCATCTCTAAAAGGAACTAAAAAATTATGAAATAAAAGGCATCTAAACCAGTTGCTATTACAGTTCTGAAGAACCTCAATACTGAACACAGCCACGCTCAGCACGCTTCTATCACTGAGCAGACTTTCTGGCACCTATCACTGGCACTTCTGCATAGAGGCTAAAGCAAATTTGGTACCTGGATATCCTGGTGGAAAGCTCCCACAGCAGGGCCTGGAAAGCAATGATGTCCTCAGTTTGGAGCACAACAGCCACAGGACTGGAAGGCTCATGAGGATTTTGTAGCTTCTTTCTTTACTCAAGGATCTCTCACTTGCAAAAGACAAGGATCCACAGCCAGGAAGCAGCATGTCAGTCTGAAACAGGGAGACTGCAGTACAGCCCTGGTAAGACTATCAGATATGTACGCCAGCATCGGTGGCCAAACTTTAATATGGCATAATGCTGCATGGCCAAAAGGCATCTCAGCACAGCTGCTACAGCGTGAGCCTGGGGTGCCACCTGCAATGCCCTGGGGCTTTCTGTGACCTCTGGCTGACGAAATAGCATTCAAGGCAGTGTCTCCTGCTCTTAAATGCCTGCAAACTTTACTCACGGAGGCTGTTTTATGGCTGTGCCTTCTTCACATCAGAATCTGATCTGATGGTTGTTGGTGTAGCTGAAGGACAGAGGCTCAGGACACCACCACTGATCTGATCAGCTTATTCTGTCCCTGCTTGACCTCAACGACTCCAACCATTCGACTGCTGTAGCACAGTGGTTCTTAACATGTGACAAGAGGATCAGCAGCAGTGTTTACTGACAGCCCACAGGTCAGCCAAACATGACATGGAAAAGGCATCTCCATGAGACAAGAAGGCTGGAGAACCAGTGGCTTCAAGAACAAAGCAGTGTGTATTCCAGTCCAGAAATGCCCAGCTAAGCCATACACACTTGTTTGCTGTAAATTTTGCTATTATGCCTGAGCCATCTGGCCGGGTAAAGTCTGTAACCGCAAATAAAGTAGTCAGCTACCCAAGGTTCCAGTTATCACAGGCTCTATCTCCTGTAATATTTCATTAATAAAGAAAACATATCCTGAATAAAGCTCTTGCCTTCATCCCACGCCATTTCTGCAAGTGACAGCAACTTCAGTCATAAACATCAACTGGCAGCTTGAATTCCTTTAGCGAATAAAAGGCAATTTCTCCATGATCCACCAGCGCAAAGACCACTGGGACGTCCCCACTTTGATACGTAAGCTGCTTCAAAGCCCGAAGGGATGGAATCTGCTCGTCAAAGCTGCAGAGAGAAAAATATCCCATTGTTCTCAAAGCAAGAATACAGAGACAAAGCTGTCCTGGCCAATGATCACAACAGCTCACTTCGGTCTTAGGAGTTGGTAGTGACCCTCCCCACCCCTTTCAGTCAAAGCAAGAGGCTGCCAGCCCTGAGAGAGTACACTGCATGCCGGGAACTGGGAGCTATCAAATCCTTTGCCAAAACCAAGGGCAACTGCACACCGCTCCACGCTGTGCCTATTAGATGCGGCTCACAGGGCTATTGGCAAATTGCCAGTCCAGTGCAATCTTAACACCTTTGTGCTAGCAAGATCTTTAGGTTGCTGGGATCAACATCTGACCTGCTTCTCCCTCCCTTTAATCCTGCAGTCTGTTTGCTCTTCAATGAAAATATTTATAAAGCAAGGATCATCCTACTTGTTCACAACAGGCCTTTGTAAAATTGCATTACCACCTTCCTTGCTCTGGCTACTACAGCTGCAGAGAGTGGAGGAGGGATAGTTTCAGTATATATCAAAATTAGAAAACACAGAGACGGAACTTTGAACCTGCTTCTGGAGTTTAAGTATCAGACTCTGGATCCAGCAAGAAAGGGGACACCTACCTTCTGTTTGTACTGCTCTTAAAGTTACACTTGACAAAGACTGAAACACTAAACCCGTGGCCCTGAGCCTGCAGTGAGCTGTGGGGAGCTACGTCTCTGCAGAAATCCACAGGGATCTGCGCTGGCTGAGGATTCAGGTACCATACTGCTCCCTGCAAAACTGAGCTCTACACGAGTTTCACAAGCATTGCATAAGCACAGCTGTGGCTTCTTATTCCTGACCCCAGTAATACTCAGACATGAGCAGCAACCATATGACCAAATAGTGTGGGCTGAGTGCAAGGGCTGGGGGAATTGTCAGCCACAGCCTCCAACAAAGGAGGAACTGAAAGGAAAAAAAAAAAAACCTGGGCAGGACGACCCTCAAGGGAGGCACTCTGATCATCTGTAAAGCTCACAAGATGCTGGGTCATTTACAGATCATCAGGACTCCATTTCCGCAACAGCAACTGCTATGTTTCAGAACACAGCGCAGGACTGACGGATACCTCCGAACACACATCCTGACATACGGCTTCCCAGGGTTTGTCTTCTTAAACTTGGCCACAGCATCTGCTTGATAGACATTGAAGTCTATCTTCATGCCCTCTGGGTCCTCCTGCAGCCTAAAGAAAAGAGAACACATCCACATACGTATCAGATTAAAACACTGTAGGGTATAGATATAGCAGAGGAAAAAAGGGAGCAAAAGCTCTTGAAGCCTGGCTAGTTTGAGCCCTTTGAAAGGCTCCACTCCTCAAAGGACTGACCCTGTTCTAATTACTTTCCAGATCTTTCCTGTAGTCAGACCAGAGCAAGCTCCCGCCCCACATCTGCCACACTCCCTTCTCTGCAGACCCCCTTGCAAGAAGCACCACTAGCAGATACAGAAGCAAAGCACTGTTCTGCCCTACAGGGACTGCACACAAAGACCACACAGACTCTCTGAGGCAGGAGCAGAACCAGAAGTCCCAAAGCCAAGGCTCTATAATCACTGCAGCAGGGATGGCAGCACATTCCAGGGATGAGGCACAGGTGAAACCCAACCAAACCTCTGGTCTGGGGGAGACTACCTGGCCGGGGTGCAGAGGGAACAGCAGGAAAAGAGCACAACCCCCATGCTTTAATTGTCCTGGAATGCCCTGGCTGTGTCGCTGCAGGACCCAGTACTTCACAGAAATGTCAGCCCCTCAGTACAAATGCAATGGAGTCATGGAGCAGAGTGCTGGATTCTCTCAGCATCCTGAATGCCAGGCAGCTCCCAAACTGCTGCTGCGAGCATCTCACAGACCTCACAAGCAGGGACAGTCACAGGACACCCCCACTCCCTCACAGCTACGAGCTGGCTGGCTGGATACTAACCGGGAGGCTCCATCCAGGATGTGGGAGGGCTGCAGCACGCTGATCTGCCGGAGGAGCGCAGCTGGAGGGAGAAGAAACAGGAAAGGATCAGACCAGCTATTTCTCTCCCAGGGCACTCCAAGCACTCCACCACCACCCACAAGCCTTCCTCCTCCAACAATGGCTGGCAGCACCACAGTCACCAGTGGCTACTTCAAAGACCTCAACTTCCTCATCTCCTCCCAGCACACAGCCCAGAACACCCTGCAATTGCTTTGCCTCTGGCTGGCCCTGATTTCACATGCCTGACAGCCTAGCGGCAAAGACTGCAATACAGTAGGACATGGGGAACGGATCAGAAGACCTCCCAAGTCCCTGTTCATCCTGGCACTTGCGTGGACTATGGAAAGGGATGGAAAGGCAGAGGACAAGCTTTCCTCTCTCTCCCCATGTCCATGGCTGGGCTCGCCGTGCCTGCTTTGCCTAGACCTTCTAATGAGACTCTCCTTCTCAAGGTGTTGTTCCCTATACCGATGTTCAGCTTCTCCATGTCATCTCTTTTACTGTTGCATACCAGGCAACATTTCACAGAGCTGGGGGGGGAGAAGGGAGTCCCTGCCAGGTTCCCAGAGGCCCCACCTGATGAGGTGGCTTCCTCCGGCCGCAGAAGCGGTGTGACGGGTTGGTCCCAGAGATGCGGCGGTCGTTTCCAAACCCTCTGCTGCCTCCTCTGCTCCAAAAGGGCTTTGTACTCCTGCCAGTTGGAGCAGCGCCTCACCTCCTGGTCAGCATTGACACTGCTCTTGTACCTGCTTTCCCTCTCTCGCTGCTCCCTTTCCTTCCGTGACAGCTTCTCCCGTTTCTGATTGATGCGTGCGCACCAGCAAGCTGCATCAACCTCCCTCCCCGGCACATTCTCTGGCAGGAGGCTGTCATCAGGTGAGGGCAGATGTGTGCACATCTGGTCTCGGGCCACGTTTGGCAAGATGATGGTGGTAAAATCCCAGCGGGGTGCATGGCTGCCAGCGCTGCTCTCCTTGTGGTCTCCAGCCTGGGTCCTGGAAGGGCTTCGGGAATCCTTTTGTCCTGTATCAAGAGGAACTGGGTTTGACTCCCTCTCTCCAGTGCCAGCATCTGATTCCTTTGGCTGCTCTGACAAGGGCTTTTCATCCATGGGAAGGTAGCTGGAGTCTCCACAGTCATCTCTAGCTTTTTCGGAGATCCCTTCAGCTTCTGGAAGGTCCTCAGATACCTTATGTTTCTTCTCATGCGACCTAAAGACAGATGAGGCAGCAAAAAAGACAGGGAGAGTGCGTAGTGGAACTTTCTTCCCTTTCAATCCCACCTCCTCCTGGCTAACAGGAAGAATGCAGTCTGCCAAGTCTGAAGGAAAGACGACAAAGTTGTCAGGAACCCCCAGACAGGTCTGCAAACCTTTGACAACAACCTCTTAGCTGGAAGAAGAGCGTTTGCTTGCATGACAAAATGAGAAGGGAGAAAAGCAGGCCAAAACCAATCAGTGAGCATCAAAGGCAGAACAAACTTCTCAGCAGTCCGGCATGAGGTTTGACCTCAACGCACAGGAGAATCCCAGCCTTGATTTGCACGGACAGACATTCCCACCCTGCCATGCAGCCTCTACATGCCCTGTATACTGACCCAAACTCCTCCATGTAAACACGATGGACTTCAGCCAAACCAGCACAGGTCAGGCAGAAACCTTCCTGCCAGCACCTCTCACTGGTATGAGAAGATGAGGCACCACTTAAACCAGCAATTTTATCTCCCTATTCCTAAAATTTCCTAACTCCTCAGGCACTGATTTACTTGTTAACAGGAAGGGACTTGCAGAACAGCCTTGTCCTCCCTGTTCCTGAAAGGATGAGGCCACCTACTGGAAGCTGGACTAATTATGTCTGCTGCTGTTCGCATTTTGGCAATGCCTAGAGGCCACATGCAAGGACCAGGACCCACCTATGCTCTCTGCTGTGCAGTCCCAGCCTGTAAGCTGCATTCAGGGGGTGGATAAGTGCAAGATGTGCACTGCGGGGTCTGCACTCCCTCTGAACGAGAGCAAGCGGAGACATCTGCCATGTGTTTCTTCTGCACTGACCTCTCTACCCTTCTATTTTGGCATCCACTGCAGCTGGGAGGCTCAGGGGCAGTTTGCCCCTATTAGTCCTGCATGAAGTACAGATGTGACAAAATGGCACACCGCAAAGAGATCAGGGAAAGCACTGCACTGCTTGGGGCCAGCCAAGAGCAGCTGTGCCAGACAGGTCACCCACAGCATAAAGGGCTGAGGATGCTGCTCCCAAGCTTCAGAGCCTGGGAGAAGACAGAAGAAGGTTTTGGGCCACATCCTTACTGGGGGCTGGAACTCCTCCTCCTTTTGCGATGGTGTTTCCCAGAGCTCTGGCAGTGACTTTCCAGGTTCAGTTGCCTCTCGTAGGGAGACAGGACAGTGCTGTAAGGAGACACCAACACAGAGGCTGACAGCAGGGTGGGGCAGTGAAACTACCCTTCTGCTCAGCCCCCAGAATACAGAGACAAAAAACTTTTCTTCCAAGCACAGAAAATCCACAGGCAGGACCAGGATGGTCCTCAGTTCATGCCCCATTTCATGTTCCCAATCACCTCCTCACAAGGGAGGAGCAAGCAAGGGTAGAGTGCCACTTCTAGCCTTTAATCCTCCCAAGAGATGGAACACAGGGTCAAAGTCCTCTTCTCTGCCGTTCCACTGGGGCCATGCAGCGGGCACAGAGCTGCTCAGGGTCTTCAGAAAGGAGAAAGCAGCGTGGAAAGGAAAAGCTGGTTACCTGGGGTCGAATCTCAGTACAATATAACCCAGTTGCTTCAAGTGGCTGAACACCTTAGAGCAAAGGAAAGCAAGAGGGTTAAATGACTACCCTAAAACCAATTTACTTCAGTTCCACTACAACTGAGTGAACACAGTGTGGCACTGGCAGAGAAGAAAAAGCCAGGGTTAGGACCCAAAGCAAAGGTGGGGAAACATGAACTGATCATCTGGAAGAAGGTGAGCGGGAAAAACTGAGAATGACTCCCCTTCCCTCCCTGCTCTCAGCCGCTGGAAGAGGTTGTGCGGCAGAGGCTGGGCTCTCTGCCTCCATCCTCCCTGCCCCAGCTCGGGGTCCCAACCAACCTGGCAAATTGGCGGCGAGGGGGGGGCTCCCTTCTTTCCTCCTCCCTGCCACAGCTGGAGGTCCCAACACACCTGGTAATGTGGCAGGCTCACTGCCTCCTGGGACAGCAGGATCTCGTAGGCCTCTTGGATTGACAAGGGCAAATCCCTGTAAAAGAGCTGAACAGAGCCCTGCAGGGCAAGAACTTGTGTTTAGAGAATCACAGGTAACATCCATGCAAGCTCACACCAGTCTCTTCCCACTGGTCCCAGCACCCTCCTTCACATGATGTCCATGCCTCCTCACGTGCCACCTGGATTACCTCCAGTCCCTCTCCCACGCCCAGTTCCCCCATGTCCTGGTTTTAGCAGCCAGGTGAGAAGTTCCCACCCACGGCTGTCAGCTCCTGCTCCAGCGGTGCATCTGTTTGGAGGATGCAGCTGGGAGCACAACGCTCAGCTGTTAAAATAATCATTGCTTTGGCAGATGATCTTCTTCAGCTTTGATGATCTCAGTGAATCAGGACACAGCGCAACTACAAAAACATTTAGGACCAGCACAGCCTCGAGACCTGGGGCAGAGGAATTGATGGCATCCCCAGATACCATCACTTGGTGGCTCCTCAGAAGCATTTTCTGCAGCCCCACTGATCCCACAGATTCCCCAGGCAACAGCAATCAACCTCCAAGAGGCAGTTTTAGGCTAGGCCTCTTTTTCCTCCTTTCTTTTAAAATATGTGTTTACTCATAAACAAAGAAAACCAAACACTAGGAACCACACCTCTCCAGTGGGATGGGCTGAAGGCATCTAACTGGTCTTTTCTGCTTCTGGGGAGAGATTTTGTACTCAGAAACTGACTAAATTTTATTTTAACCTATTTCTTTAAAATCTATTGTTTGTCAAACTGCCAGAGATAAAGCCCTGCCTTTGCAGGTACAATTCAAGGGATGGCATCAGATGCCCATAATCTGATTAAGTTTTGCTAAGGACAAAGCTCCCCTTTAGATCAGTGCACCTATTCTACTGATAACAGGCTTCTGTAGAGAGACAAAAAAACCCTCTTAACAGCACAGAAATCCAGCTGAGCCCTAACCAGCATTTCTGCAAGCAGAGGAGCACTGAAAGCAACCTGGTCTCACTCCCCTGTCTGCCACACTTAAATTTCTTTCTGCCATATATACTGGGAAGAGAAGCCAAACAGCAACCCCAAAGACTTCTGCTTACGTGTAAAGCACGTACAGCACTGGCTGCTATGTAACTGCCTCCGTGCCAACACCCTTCACACGGAAAGATCTGATTTAGTGCCTAAATGTGGCCCCACCAAGCTGGCTAGAGTTTCACTAATTCCCATCAGCTTCTTGGAGAAGCGCAGAAAGACTGTGCTAATGAACTTACGAACCCTGCCACTGCAAGATATGTAAGATGCACTGGGGAAAGGGAGGAAGTCAACTTATGACAGAAAAGGCACTGACCAGTCTCAGACATCCTCATTAACTGTACACCAGTTCTGAGGAAAAGGATTTCTCAGTGTCAAACCTTTTATTCCAATTAACTCCTGGAAGGAAGAGAAGATAATGTTTTGATCTCATTTCCAGAAATTCCAATAACAGTGAGTTTTCTGGGACTGTGGAAGTTCAAGCCCCCCCCCCGCCTTTGGTAAAGAAGTGACTCATATAAATATGTTTTGTCATCCCCAGAGCAAGAAAGTAGAGATCTCAACAGAAAACTCTGTAACATGCTCCTCATGCTTCCTTCATTCTGATAAGTGAGCTGACTTCTTACTGCTGTACTAACAGAAATTCGGACCAGCTAAAACTCTCCTAGTTTCTACTGTCATATTTGACGTAGGATTGAGTTAAACACGATACCAGCTGGATAACCGGGACACCAATCCAACTAACACGCACTTGCAATGACACAGAGGTTGCTTTAGCATACAACATACGAACCCACGGCCTGGCCACAAACAGCTCCATCAGCAAACAGGTTAAAAGAGACAACTCGCCAAGAACCAGGTGTTTCTCAGCTGTGCAAACCGCAGCAGTGACCAGTACTTGTCAAGTGATTTCAGGCTTCAGTCTAAAGCTGCTGCTGCTCCTCCAATCATTCAGGAAGAACCCAATGCCCCCAGCCACACACGGGTATTCTACTTACACACTCCAGCAGGTACAGAGCTTCCTCGGGCAGCAGGCACTGTTTGCCACGCTCTGTGAACCCCATGGTGTGCCAGAACTTCCCCTGGAACAGAAGCACAAATCCCTGATGGGCTCTGGCTGTTCCCTGCTGACAACCAGGCTCTCTCCCATTTCAAGAAGCAAATTAACAAATCTGCAAAGGCCGGCAGGAGATGATGGCACTGGGTACACTCTGTAGCAGGCTCACCGCAGGGGACTGCAGTTCCACGATGCCCTGTCCTGGTTTCCACTCAGCTTTCACCAGACTCCCCCTGAGAAGGTTAAAGATTAGTTCATTATTACTTTTATGTCTTACAGTCAACGCCTACTGTAGCAACACAACAAGCTCAGGAAGGTGTTGAAAGGCAGCAAACCTCCAGGTGGCATTTTTACAGGCTGAGGCCTTAAAAAGACACCATCCTCTCAGTCTAGAACTACCAGCTGAAGATTTTATCATCACCACCTAGTCAAAAGTGTCTTCAGTCAGCACCACAGATGTCTGTCCACAGGCTACAGCAGCCTGCTGGAAATGCATGGCCTAAACCATGATGTATCATACAATTGTTCAGATGTTGCCTAGACACTCTCAAATTGCTGTATCCTACCCACAGGGACTCATAGGAAAAAATTAACAGCTGAGAAGTGGAGGGTGACTTCACAAGAATGCAAACATGCATTTTCAGCAGCTGTCTCGAAACAGCAGGTAAGACCTGCAGAGTCCTCCACGGACTTGCTCTACATCTTTAATCAGTACCACAATTTCCCCATCTGAAAGGAAACCTACCAAGTCACCCTCCCATCCCGAGATCTCCACTGCTGCCCCAGACACACATTTACAGATGGACATGAACAAAACTGACTGTGACAACAACGGAAGAGAACAGTCCACCCTGTCTGACCTGCCTGTCTGCTGGGGGTCACCATTCCCTCTCCCTAAAGCCCCCCATGCTGTGATTTTAGGTGAATAGTTTCTGCTGCTGATCAGTGCAGACAGAAAAACTGTTACCACAAAACAACAGGCCAAACAGGGAAAGTGTGTGCTGGGAGGCAGCGTATGAAAATCTCCCAAGAAATGATAACCTCCAGAGACTGGTACCGCTGTTGAAACCACCCAGACTGATAAGCCAGGAACACCGTGCATCAGCCATATCTGCACAAGGCCACACACGAGCATCAGCAAGGCGCTGCGTAACTCACACCAAGCCCAAGCAGAGAGTGGCTGCCACCTGCAAAGGCTACAGGGTTACACGTGCACCTGGGACAGCTGAGGGCCCCTGGAGGGACTTTCTGAACGCCCACGCTGAAGCCACGGCCGTGCCAGCACAACCCCCCGCTCCTGAGGGAACGGCCGGGGTGAGCTGTGAGCGGGTGAGCGGAGGGGACGGGCAAGGGAACTTACTGTGCTAACACCCACCTGCTAGTAACAACTCGGTTCTACTGGTAACAACACCCGAGCGGAGAGAGCCGCGCTCTGACCGC